TAAATACAGGGTGCGGCAGAGAGGACGGACGTTTTTGGGATGGGTAGTACTCTCCGCCTCCGTCTACGAGAGAGGTGGGGAGGGTGCCGTTTGACTCCTGAGATCCTAGCATTATTTTACCAGTTGTCGTTATGGAGCCTTGGACGGTGAAGCACCGCGTTTTCGCCTATGATTGTTTCGTCCGAAATAATGAGCCAGTCATCGTCGTACAGTTTGAGTTTCATCGCCACTTCAACATTCATCGGAATAGAGCTGTTCCCTCTCGAAACACCATCCTTGGTTGGGTTGAATCACTTCGGAGGCGTGGTGAACTGATCAACAGAAGACCAAGAGGAGCGCCGCGAACATGTCGAACTCCTGAAAATGTTGAACGCGTTCGACAGGTCTTTCTTCGCAGTCCGACTCGATCTGCCCGGAAACATGCTGCTGCACTTCGCCTTAGTGATCGTTCGTTAAGGCGAATTTTGCATATGGATCTTCGCTTTCACCCCTACAAATTGGCCATTGTGCAACAGTTACAGCCCGGAGATTATGCACAACGAATGAACTTCGCACGTGAGATGGAAGTACTGATCGATCAAAATGAGAACCTCATTTTGTTTATGAGTGACGAAGCCCACTTTTACCTAAACAACATGGACTTGTGTGGTTCCAGCCGAATTGGTTCGACCGCCCACACAGCCCGAGCATCCATGGACGTTATTCGCCCTCTCTTCCCTGGCCGCCTTATTTTCAGGTTTGGCGATGTTCATTGGCCTCCTCGGTCCCCAGATTTATCCATATGCGATTTTTTCTTATGGGCAAACCTCAAGGCTAGAGTATACGTGAACAAGCCCCGAACTCTGGACGAATTGAAGGGCAAAATTCGCGTGGAAGTCGCCCAAGTTGAGAGAGCGATGTTGGAGAGAGTCTACGCAAACTTCCAAGAACGCCTCCAGCACTGCATCAACGATTTCGACCACCACATGCCTGATGTGATTTTCCACACTTGACTGTCTCAAATGCTATTTCCTTGTGAACCTAATTCCATCAATACATTTTTTTTTCGAGTAAAAATTAACTATTTTATGATTTTTTTAAAACCGTCCATCCTCTCTGCCGCACCTTGTATAAATCAAAACCCAGACATCGATAAGCAAAACACCAACTGCTTAGCAGTCGACGGGCGATTTTCAAAAACTCGAAGCGTGATACTGGAATAGCATATTTTTATAAGCACCTCGAAAGCAAGTGCTTTACGTTTTGAAGAACGAGAATACCGGTTCACTGAAAATTTCCCGTTCTCTAAGTAACGACAAATTGCAGTAATTTTGTTATAACTCCACATTTCTTGAGGCATTTTTTTATACATGAGGGGAATGTTCGGCAAAAACGCTTATTTTCGGCCAAGCCTACTGGGCGAACCGAAAACGCATCGGATTGGAACGGCATTATTATCGCACAATGTTCTACCTCGACTGGACTATGGCTTATTGTGGCTCGAAAGCAAGACCGGACAGCTTGATGCTGATAGGTACGCAAGCTAGGCTAGTCTGTAATTTTGCCCTCTAACGGATATAACATTAACTATTATTAGCTATTAGTTAAATTTAAAAGCACTTTTTTAAAACGGTTGAAAATAGTTCTGTGTTTCCTTTATTAGCATAGAACATCCTTGTATGAACGAGTCAAGGGTTTCCTTTGCCACCTTTGGCCCGTCACAGGAAACTTTGCTCTTGGATTAATTGATGTTTGAAAGCCTCATGCAAAGTCCTTATAAGAGAAGTGCGAAAAATGATCAGCTCCTGAGAACAATGTCGAGCTGACACTGATGAATGATCATGCAACAGCAATATCTAGCTTAACGTACTGGACGAGAACGATCATAGGTTTTTTAGTCCAATAATGATCCAACCTCATGAACGGGTCAACAATTCTAACTCATTGTCAGTCTCATATAAAAAATTTTCCCATTAGTTTTAGCTAAAGACCACTTTGAAAGTAGGTTTTCGATATTTCTTAGTTATTGTGTTTAAACATTTAAACATGGCCTATAATGAAGGTTTCCGACCCTGGGCAATTTAGAGCTCTTATTTTTTTATCAGGACTTTAAAGCCATAGCAAACATGATACAATAAAAATTTACCGAAGAAATTCAACCCGAATACAGCTGACGTGAAACATGACATAATATTAGCTATGGATTAAATGCTGAATTAAAGAAAAAATTAAATCTCGAAGTACCAATAAAACAAATGCTGCGGAACGTTTAAAACACACATGTTTTAAGACATTTAAATATAGGTGCGATAAACTTAAAATTTGAATCCTTTTCAGTGCCGAAAGCCCCACTTTCAAACACTGTATGACTCACCCTGCATATAGTTCAAAGATCAAAGAATGCATTTACCTTGCAATTTGGTAGTAAGACTCACAAATGAAAGTTCTCAAGCTTTTATAATATGCCTCTTAAGGATAAAAACAGTGCCAAGCGTATAGTTTTGACGATACGGATGTATTTATCTAACCGAAGTGCACGACTCTCCTGAACTCTTGAAATAACAACTAAAGTGATCCTGCCAATCATGATGTATTATCACACGGTAGATTTCAGTGCATTATGTCATTATGTGTCATACCAAAAGGTTGAAGCTTGCATTTTCGTGCTGCCATCAATGTATTTTCACCCCCTTGGGCAACAATGGTGGAACAACAAACGAACGAAGAATGAATAGAGCATGTTGTGCATGTTAACGTTCGCATAGCCGGCCGGTTACAGCGAGCTTTCATGAAATATGATAGCAGGCTTTAGCTTCTGTACGCGCACGTCATATTTAAACTGCACAGAAAATAATCTGTGGCAGAGCAATTATTTAGTACAGGTCTCTTGTGTGTCCTTTGATTGCACCGCAGGGAGACTGTATAGGAGCGGTCTGCATATAGACCAGGCAGTACCTTCGCATACGGTGGGAAAAAGATTCGGATATGTTGCTTAGTCTTATTCATAAAGGGCCCCTTTCAACGAATCCGAATGTTACCAGGCCCAAATTTTCGTCAGAAATGTCTATTTTTTATTATTTTTTGAACAAATTTCAAAAATAGTTTTTATCACTCCAGTCTAAGCGTTTTTAGGTTTTCCGGACGCGCTGAAGAAATACGTGATTTAGAGCTAAATGCTAAATAGTTGTCGAACTTGCTAAATATCCTTTAAACCACTTAATCACCCGAACCATTTCAGGAGGTGTTGTTGTTGTAAGCCTTTGTTTCAATTGGTAACCAAGCGAGAGCTCAGTGACAAATACAGCTGGCGATCGTTCACTTTGCTGCAACACTTTCGCAATCACATAGAATATACACTGACTTGCTTGGTTAACAATTAAAATTGAAAAACCACGGCTTACAACATTCAGTACCTCCTGAAGTCCTTCGAGATTTTGTTAATTGATGTTTAGGTAATATTCAGGAAGTGTGGCAACATTGCACGCCTTTTGTTCAGAGTATCACAGAAAAATAAAAAAATGAGCGTAGTGAAATAATCAACCATTTAAAAACAATGTTCGAAATAATTGTTTCAAAATTATTTAACGCAAATTTCGGTCTGGTAACATGCAGCTTCACCGTGCCTTTTGAATAAGATATGCAGAGAATCCGAATCAGCATATTTTTCACATATGCAAATATACTTCCATGACTAACACTGTTGTGCGATAAATATTACGATATCGCTTTTGATCATTGGTTTGCATAGGAACCTGGATGGATGAGAGTTCATTTGTAACTCCGAAAGCACAGGAACAAGGAGTGGAAATAAACATCAATGGACGTATTTTGACGTCGTAATATAGGCTCATATTCATTTTATGTGGATATAAAGGTCTGTCTCATTTCAAGATTTGGGAAATTTCCTCATCCACTTATAGATCTATATTAACCTAGTAGCGACGGGTCATTTTATTGTACACGCAATGGAAATTATCGAGAATTACGGTAAATTCTGGAAAATGAGGTGGGGCACTAAAGGAATTTTGTACATTTTCAGAATCAAGATTGTTCAAAATATGTGTCGAACGAGATTCATCATCTGCCCGTTTCTCAATGTTGATTTCCCCTTATAGGCAATGACGTAGCCACACCCACTCAAAATTCCGATTATATGTTGGGAATATTAAACCTTTCCTGAGGAAAAAAGCAAGCTGGGCATTTTTAGCAAACTGAGTTTAATATTGCGAATCGGAATTCCAAAGAAGGACTAATATTAATAATAATAATAGTAATAATAATAATAATTTTCATTGATAAATGAAAAAAGTATAGCAGTAGTAGATAAAAGGATATTATACACTAAAGGAATCGACCCAGAAAAGTCTCGCAAAGACCTGTGCTTGGGCGTGGGCTCTTGTATAAATAACTGAAGACTAAAAAAAAAATATATAAAATTGTTCAGACAGGGCCTGGTTAAATTTTTAAAAGACACAATCGGGATGGAGATGCAATCGGGATAGAGACAATATTGAAACAAAAGACAATATTAGGTCAACAGACAACAACAGAATTGGTAAAAATAAGTAATAAAATACTTATTATTAGATATTTTGACTAATAGTTTATGAAAACAAAAATGTTGATGCTCTTGGCATTGCTGTAACATTAAAATGTTTTATATGAATAAAACTGAAATATCCAACAAAAATAGACATTTCGGTGGAGGCAAAAGCGTTGTACACATAACAAATATACAGACTGCACTAAACTCATATCAGGGGGGCGTTGGACTTAAAACGGTTTCCATTTTAGACAGAACACGTAAATTCTGTAAAAAGATATTTGTCAAAACGTCAAAAGAAATAAAAACTTTTGTATTAGGAAAACATATACTTTTGAGGATGCCACATTGTGTATGCTGATAGAAATTTTAGTAGCTCCTGCTGGTAGCACTATACCTTGTTACAGTATACTTCGCTTGAAGGTGGCACCTTTCTAGGTTCTTTAGCATTATAAATATTTATACTTGTGTTTTATAGGGAAATGCTAAGATTCTTCACCTAGTATCCATTGAGGTACGTTCTGATTTTAGTTAGTGTTTTAAGAACATGACATGTGGGTAGTAGATATGTACATGTACAGTCTGCAAAAATGAAAAGTCCGCTAAATTTGGCCTAAAAAACAATGTTAAAAATGGCTTTAGATTACACCTATCATAAATAGCCTTCGAAGTCGTCAAGGTAAAGCAAGATTCCAACTTCAACTTAAATACCTGGAAACCTCAAAAAATTAAGATCTTTAACGGGGGTATTAAGCATTCAAGATACCCATTTTTATGGTTTCACGGACATTGAATCGACTACGGGGTCAACTTTAGAGAAGTACTACAATTTTTTTTATGTTACAATACAATCATAAATAGCCTTCGAAGTCGTCAAGGTAAAGCAAGATTCCAACTTCAACTTAAATACCTGGAAACCTCAAAAAATTAAGATCTTTAACGGGGGTATTAAGCATTCAAGATACCCATTTTTATGGTTTCTCGGACATCGAATCGACTACGGGGTCAACTTTAGAGAAGTACTACATTTTTTTTTATGTTACAATACAAAAAAAAATCAAAAGAAATCTCTCTGGAGCAAACAAGACATTTTTGTATAATTTGTTCAAACAAATTTATCGTGGAAGTGATTAATTGATCAGTTCGGAATAAGTAATTAAAGCTGATAAACAAATTTCCTGTATATTTCTTAAATCTCCTTTGAAAGCTACAAATTACATTATCAGCCTACCATGAATTTACGAACTCGTCTGCCACAATCAACCAACGTTGCACTGCTTAAAAAAGGTACAAGTATAGTATAGAGAAGCGGTGACCAATTTTACTCAGCCGTAATCTATGATCCAGATAAATGCTTGGTAGGCTAACAAAAATTTAGAACTTTAGATCTTCGTGGAACTAATCAATAAAATTAGTCATACCTAATAGCACCTAATAGCACCTGTTTCATTCTCAGTGCATACCTACCTGGAAAAAGAAGAAAACACTTCATATTCGGTGGTGTAGAGAATGTAATTTTGTGGCCTTAGATGAACATTCAAGGTAAATGTGGACATAACTCACTCCAATCTGATCAATTAATTACTTCTACGATATTCATTAACCATTTTTCAACAGATGCTGTTGTAGAGCAGGCGGAAACCTTGCATTTCTGAGAAAAAAATTACAAATCAATTTCTTGACATAATTACGTTTGTTGAATCTTCTGTAACATGAATCAACTGGTAGCCTCTCGGTAACTCGGATCAAATAATATGTTTAAACATTTTTGTTCAACATAAATTACAAAAAGATGTATTTCACCTCAATCAATTTTTTTATATTCTTCGTATCATTCTGAACAAGGTAGTTCCGTTAGCAACTTTTGTCTAAGGTTTAACGTTTTCGAGTTATAACAGACTACCTTCGATACTTATGCAGCAACATGTTGCAACTGTTGCAGATTCCGTTTTAAAGGAACTCTGACACACGACGCTCAACATGATGTAGGAAGAATTCGCGATAATGTAAACGTCCTTTAAACTAAGTCTTGACCGCATGTTTGGAATAGACATGCTTTGTTCTTGCAGAAACCTCACAAAATGAACAACTTTGGTGCACTGGATCAAAACACCGCCTCCTGAAAAAAGAAAAATCCGTGTAACTGGTGTCCCTGAATTAACCTGCAGGAAAAAACTCGGAGCAGATAGCAACTATACATACGCTTGCTATGTATTTTCATAAAGAGATACTTGAATTTTAGCGCAATAACGTGAAACAGAAGCATTAAGCTTTACAGAAAATTAATATTTACGATCGGTTTATAAAGTTTTTTTTGGTTGAATGCTTGGCATATTTCCTAGGCTTTTGCTGAGTTTTATAGTTAAGTATGAGAGCTCCCAGGAATATGTTAGTTTAGCTATTACGTAAAAATCAGCAATCTCGGTTGGTGACGAGCCGAGTTAGTTTCTCTGATGCACTGGAAATTAATAAATCTGCTATCATAGTGAAAATTCCTATCAAGGCTCAGTGAAAAAAATACTGCATACAAATTCTATTGTATTTATGGAAATCACGAGGTAGGACCGCTTTCAACACCAGTTTGGAGACAGTGCCATACTATCAAAAGTAAATTCATTGACCCATATAAATTGACAGGAAGATTGATTGGGGAAACTCTCCCTGCAGACATTCGTCAGAAAATTTCTGACAAAACAGATGCAATTGAGCAAGCGAAGAGGTCTTGTAACCCAGATGACATTCACAGAGCAATGAATCTTGTTGATGCAGTAAGAAATGCTCTTCATGAATTCCGTAATGAGCAATGGAGCGACTTTATGTCGGGGATGCTTGACTCAAGTATTCCTCTCTGGGAAGTTGCAAATTCGCTCATAAACGGAAAGTGAAAACAACTCCCGCACATCCACAGTCCTAGGGGCATAGTCTGTAGGACAGAGGAAAAGATCGAGATCTTCAGATCTTCGCTGATGCAATGGAAAGTCAGTTCTCTCCCAACTATGACCTTGATAATGACCTCATCGAGGAGCAACATATTGTAAGATCCGTCAGGAGATGTTTTAGGGCCAACGGCGTCAGTGGCAGTAGTGCCTCCCTTAGTGGATTTTCCTCAGAGGAATCTTCGGAAGACTCTTCAACTGAAGAGCCGCATGGCACATCAGCGGACTCTCCTGAGACTCCGCATTGGACACCAGCAGAGCTTCAAGGTCATACTAAAGACCTCAAGGTGCGTAAAGCACCTGGAGAGGATAGAATCACTAATAAGCCTCTGAAGCTACTATCGCGGAAATCCGTAACTTATCTCGTGGCAATAATCAATGCCATGCTAAGGACCCCGCACTTCCCAACGGCGTGGAAGACCGCTGATGTCATAATGATTCCAAAGAAGGTGGGTTCGATATTTCCCCAGGACTATGGTCCTTGAAAATTTCTCGCCAGACTACAATGTTATTCCTGACGCGCAATTTGGCTTTCGGTCTGAGCATAGTATGGAGCTACAGGCCATAAGGCTTGTTGAACGAGTAACCAGGGGTTCACCCGTAACGAAAGTACTGGCATCTTGCTTCTGGATGCCTCAAAGCCATTTGACAAAGTGTGGCACAAGGTCCTTCACTACAAATTGATCCATCAGGGCTTCCCCTTCTGGCTCCTAAAACTTTTGAAATCCTTTCTTGAGGTAAGGAAATTTCGCATCAAAGTTAATAACGTTCTTTCGACAACACGCCCCATCAAAGCCGGTGTTCGGTTCTTGGACCATTCCTTTATTCACTGTTTATTCATGACGTGCCTTGCCCCAGCAACTGTGAAGTCTATCTATATACTGATGACACTGCCCTGGTGGCCCAGTCGTGTTCTGGGGATCAAGTTCACGCCAGGCTGCCAAGTGCAGTGAACGAGGTATTGGAATCGGCGAATCGGTGGCTGATCAAAATTAATCATTCGAAAATATAGGCAATCTATTGTACTAAAAAACGTAGCTACGCCCCGTCTGAGGTTACAGTGAATGGAGCTTGAGTACCATGGGAAAGCTCTGCTAAGTATTTCGGTGTCACTCTTTACAAGGGGATAACCTGGCAGAAGCACACTGAAGCGTTAGAAACCAAATTCCAAATCTCGTTTCGGCAACTCTACAGTATGCTATGTGGAACATCAAAATTAAGTTTGAACAACAAAGTTCGGTTATGCAGGATGTTTATTAGACCAGCGATCACTTACGCAAGTGCGGCTTGGTGTTTTCTCACCAAAACGCATTTGCGTAGACTGCAGGTTTTGCAGAACAGAACCTTGCGTATAATCACTAACTCCCCATGGTATGTTTCCAGTGAGACCCTTCACAGAAATCTTAACATCCCTTACCTAAGGGACTACATCAAACAACAAGCGCATAGCAACCCTTTGTTGCGCGAGTCAGTAGACTACACCGTCGAGCAAGTTCGCAAGCACAGAAGGCCGCGACTCGCACTGTGAACAAAATTAAATCGTGCGACTTTAGGTCCAACCAAAATTATAATTTTTCTTCAACAACCAATCCCAAAATTAATTTACTTTAGGATTAATTTAAAATTGCCGAATACTAATTAGCAATGCCAAGGCACCCCTCAAATTGACGCATTTCTTTTTTCTTTGCTCTCCCCCTTCCTTCCTTTCTTCTTCCGTTCTTTCTCCCTGACTTTGTTTGGTATCCTGAGCAACCAGATCTGACAGACCTACTGACTTACAAGACTTTAACCAAGATCAAGGGTCCTAAGGACCGCTCTGGCAGACAATGACAAATAGAAAAATATTGGATAAACGTATTCTAGTCCTCCCCGAATCGACGTTTGAGAACCTGCAATACAATGTGGTTCCAGTATGATTGGAATCCGCACAATGCGCACCAGGTTCCACAGGATCTATGTATGCTCAAGGGTTTACCAATCTTTTCTGCAACTTGGATTACAAAAAGCTGTGGTTGTAGGATCAGATAATACATCACCGTATCTGTAATATCTTGCCCATTGCCAAAATGTATGTCAAAGCCGCCATCCCTTGAATTGTTTAGATATAAAATTCATTCAAGTTTGAAGACTTCTGATCCCTTAATAATTGTTTCCCCATCCTATTCGGAATGTAGGGGGTTGACAATCGCAGGTATAGAGTTAGGTTCAGAAAATCGGAATTTTCTAGATTCAGGGTGGGTGCAGCGTTTTGGCTACCTTGCGCAGAAGTAATTAGAGTATTTCATTATCTAGAAAGTATTTAGGTAGGCCATAATAGATGGAAGATTTTCATCACTAGGAGCAGTTTGTCTGCCGACCAATTTTATGAACTTTCATACGACAAAGCTGCATTTTACCCGATTGTTATACCTACATTAACTGGGCTAATTTATATATATATATATATGATATAACTTCAGAAAAAATAGTACAGTTCCAAAAGTAGCGCTTTTCTACACACTCCTATAAATGGTGATAATACAGTGTCTCAAATAGCGTGACTTTCAAGTATTTCAACAAAAATATGAAATATTAAAAA